GAGCTTGAAAGGGATGATGATGAAGGCCAAGATCCCGAGTTGGCGGCAGATCCACCTACTTCTCCTAGGGGCGCAAATGCTTCTCTTTCCCAAATTCTGGGGGTGCAGTAGTTTAGTTTTTTGCTTTCTTTTTCTTCTGTTATTTTCTTTTCGTACTTTTGTACTTGTGCTTCTTGTCACATTTTATTATATAAAAGTTCATTTTGTTTAAGCGGTTCGCAAAGTTTATTTATTTGCGTTAAATTATTCAAAGCTTTGGGTGCATTTTTCCCCAATAGCATTTGAGTTCCGGGCATAAATTCCTCTGTAACCACCTCTTTACTGTGAGGGTTTCATAAGAGAGGTCCCTCTTATGTTTATGGTGCTCTTGAAGAGGACATCTCCTGTTCATTCTGGCACTAGCATTTCAAGTACTTGATTAACTTTCAAATGATAAAGTTAATTCATCGTTTGGACAAGAAACGAGATGAAAAAAAAAGGAATTTACTTTATTCTTCCCATTTTCAAAAGTACATAAGCATTCGTTGTGCTGAAAAGAAATTTCCATTACTTGTGGCAAATTTGTACAAGTTGTTTCTGCGGGCTTGTCGCGCAGTCCCTAGTCCCGATGATATATTTTTGTTCCCAAATTTCGTAGTCCCAGTTTATGTGGCAGTCAGGTTGTTGTATTCTCGTATCATTCCCCTCCAGTGTTCGAATGCGAAGAATGCGAATTGGGACACTGGAAGTCTTGCTCATTTGAAAGTTCCACTAGTGAATGGTTATATATTCTTTGGTCCGGCAGCAAGCTTCATTTCCAGTTAGGAACTTTGCTACCGAGGTAAAGAATATCTAACCACCCCTAGTGGCTTGTAGAGATTGGTCACTCGTGAACGGTCAGATAGCTTCTGATCCGATAGCAAGCTTTATTTCATGTTAGGAACTTTGCTATCGAGCCAAAGACTATCTAACCATCCCGTAGTGGGTTGTCGTTTCTATGCCTTGTTGTCTATAGGTTTTATTTTTGCTTTTCCTTCGTAGTATTCTTTCCGTTGCTGCCTTGTTAAAAACCTTTCCAGAAAAATCTAATTGGGACAAAAACTGGACGAAGGGAAAATGAGTACAACACATACATTCAGTATATGCAGTGCTCATCAGCAATAGTACCTTTTGAGGTGTGCCACATTCCAGTTGCTCCGTCTTGATTTTCCAGTTCATAAGATCCTTTCCCGGTGACAGCTGAAACCCGGTAGGGGCCGTCCCATGTCGGACCCAACTTCCTTATGCTGAGCTCTCAGGTGTTTTGAGTCACTTTCCTTAAAATTAAGTCACCCACTTTGAAATAACAGAGGTTGGCTCTTTAATTATAGCATCTTTACATTGTGCCAAGTCCCTGCGTTCGTCAAGCAGCTCAAATCTAACCAGCAACGCTTCATTATTTTCTTCGTCTGCTCGGAAGTATCTCATGGTAGGTTCACCCACTTCCACTGGGATCATTGCTTCTGCTCCATATACGAGAGAGAAAGGTGTCTCTCCCGTGCTTGACTTGGTTGTCGTTCAGTATGCCCATAGCACTCCTGGTAACTCTTTGGGCCATTTGCCTTTTGTTGCTTCAAATCTCTTTTTGAGATTTTGAATAATCACCTTAGTCGATTCCACTTGGCCATTTGCGCTCAGGTAGTATGGTGAAGATGTGATTCTTTTGATTTTCAAGTCTTTAAGGAACTTTGTGACTTTTGAGACTTAAATTGCGGCCCGTTGTCGCAGGCTATTTCTTTTGGTATTACCAACCAGCAAATTATGTTCTCCCACAGGAAATCGACCACTTCGCGCTCACCGATTTTCTGGGAGTCGGTGGCAACAGACCGACTATGTTCATCCTCATTTCATAAATGACCAAGGCGATAATACTGAATGCAATAGTTTTGCCGGTTGATGCTCCAACAGTGAGTGGCGTTGACACTTGTTGCATTTCAGAACAAATGCCTTAGCGTCTTGTTCCATCCGGGGCCCGTAGTATCTTGCCCTAATTAACTTTAATGCTAGAGAGTCCGCACCTGAGTGATTTCCACAAATTCTTTCGTGAACTTCTATCATGATGTAATTAGCCTAGGAGGCAACGGGCCTTGGAAAGACTTTCTATACAACTGGCTTCCCCAAAATCTATAACGAGCTACTTTAGTGTGGAGTTCCCGGGATGTCTTGGGATCCTGGGGAAGTTTGATGTGCTCAAGAGAGTCAATGATCCCATTTCTCCAATCCTAGACCAAATTGGTCGCATTTACTTCATAATGACCGTTCACATCCAATACCGAGTGCATGAGCTGTACTATTGTACCGGAGTTTGATCCCTTTATTTTCGTAGATGAGCCCAGATTGGCCTGTGCATCTACTTCTACATTTACTTCTCTCGGGATATGGGTGATCGACCATTCCCTGAACCGTGCGAGCAGAGTCTAGACTTTTACTACATATTGTTGCATGCATTCCTCTTTGGTGTCGAAGATCCCGTATACCTTATTTACTACCAGTTGGGAATCACATTTGATTTCAATGACCTCAGAGTCTAATCCCCAGGCCAGTTAAAGTCCTGCAATTAAAGCCACATACTCTCCTTCATTATTAGTCATAGGAACAGTTCTTATGTCCTGCCTCCAGGTTTCTCCCAAGGGCGTAATTAGTACTACCTCGAGAACGGATCCATTCACGTTGGAAGCTCCGTCCGTGAACAAGGTCCAGACTCCTGATGTCATTTCCGACACTATCCTCGCTTCTTTTGTGGCCAAAGGCAGCAGTCCGGGACTGAAATCGGTCATGAAGTCGACCAAAACTTGCGATTTGATCGCAGTCCTGGTTTATACTCTATATTGAATTCACTTATTTCGATTGTCCATTTGGCTAGTCGAGCTAATAGTTCAAGTTTGTGAAGGATATTCCACAGGGGAAAGATTGTCACTACGGTTATTGGATGACATTTAAAATAAGGCCTAAGCTTCGAGTGGTGACTACAAGAGCTAAGGCTAATTTTTGGGGTGTGAGTAGCGAGTTTCCTCTCCCGTTGAAATTTTACTAACATAATAAATAGGATATTGTGTACCTTCGTCTTTGCGAACTAAAATGACACTTATCGCTACCTCCGAGACTGCTAGGTAAATTAGCAACTATTCGCCTTCCTCTAGTTTCGATAGTAACGGAGGGCTCGACAAATACCTTTTCAAATCTTTTAAGCCTGCTGGCATTCCAAAGCCCATTCGAAGTTGTTCTTCTTTTTCAGAAGTGAGAAGTGATGACATTTTTTTTGAAGACTTGGAAATGAACCTGCTTAAAGCATGCTTAAAGCATCCAGTCTTCCAGTTAACCTCTGAACCTCTTTCACATTTGATAGTTGGTCAGGAATGTCCTCGATGGTTTTAATTTTGTCGCGATTAGCTTCGATCCCCCTTTGTGACACTAGGAAATCTATGAACTGACTCTGAATGCACACTTTTCGGGGTTAAGCTTCATGTTGTGCTTCCTTAGGATATCAAAGGTTTCTTGGAAGTGCTTTAGATGATCACATGCGTTTAAAGACTTAACCAACATATCATCTATGTAAACTTCCCTTGTTTTCCTTTTTTTTGAACAGTTTGTTCACAAGACTCTAGTAAGTGGCTCCAGCACTTTTAAGCCCGAATGGCATCACACTATAGCAATATGTGCCGAAGTTCGTTATGAACGAAGTCTTTTCCTGATCCTTCGGGTTCATTTTGATTTAGTTGTACCCGGAATAGGCATTGAGAAACTCATCAACTCGTGCCTGTTTGTCGCGTCAATCATTTTATCAATGATTGGCAATGGGAACGAGTCTTTTGGGCATGCCTTATTCAGATCTTTATAATCTACGCACATGCAAAAAATTTAATTCTTTTTTGGAACTACTACTACATTAGCTAGCCAGTCGGGATACTTTACCTCCCAGATTGAACCGATATCAAGCAACCGAGTTACCTTTTCTTTAACAAACCTTATTCTGACCTCGGCAATTGGGCATTTTTTTGCCTTACCGGAGGGATGTTGGGATCCAGGCTTAGCTGTGCATGACCACCTCTAGCAGAATACATGTCATATCCGCATGCGACCACGCAAAATAATCAACATTAAATTTAAGAAATTCTATAAACCCTGACCTGAGCTCGGGGTTTAACTTTGTCCCTAGGTGGAACTTCCTCTCTAAGAACTTCTCAAACAATGCGACTTGTTTGAGCTCTTCTGTTGTGGATTTGGTTGCGTCCGTTTTTTCTAGTAGCTGGAAATACCTTGGTAACTGATAGGGGTACTTTATAGGGTTCTGACGTCTTCTCCCCTTTGTCTACTCCATTTTGCTCGGGAGCAGGCATCGGTTCCTGTAATTGCTATGCCACATGTTCCTTTACTTTACTACTTGAAACCGAGATTGGGTTCTTTTCCCTTGCCGTCGGTTGATCACCTCTTATTTGTTTAGTTCCCTTTGGAGTTGGGAATTTCAGAAGTTGATGGTATGTTGATGGCACAACCTTCATCTCTTGTAGCCATGGTCTTCCATGAATAATGTTGTAGCACATGTCGCCATCAACTACTTCAAACAAGTTCGTCTTCATGACCCCTTCGGCGTTTGTGGACAGCAGGATCTCTCCTCAAGTTGTCATACTTTTTAAGTTGAACCCGGTGGGGAGCTTTGTGGCCGGGATGCTTCCGGTTAGCTTGGCTTATTCCAACACTCTCCATTGGATATAAATTGGTTGAACTCCCTGTGTCCACCAAAACACGTTTAATTTTAAACTCTAAAACATTAAGAGAAATTACCAAGGCATCATTGTGCGGTAGTAGGAGTCCATCGGCGTCCTCCTCCGTGAAGGTGATATCGATTTTGGTGATTTCCAAGAGTCTTTTGCTATGAGTCACCGATACCTCTATTTTCTTTGCTGCTGAAAAGGTAACACCATTAATCTCCTTCTCTCCGAAAATCATATTGATCGTTCGACGAGGAGGATCTTCTCTTGTCTTCAGGGTTCCTCCCGATTGCGTCCATAGTTATTTTTAGCTTGGTCGCTTAAGAACTCTTTGAGATGGCCATTTTTCAGCAATGTCGCCACCTCCTCGCGCAGATCTCGGCAGTCCCCAATCCAGTGGTTGTTAGTCCTATGATACTCAGACCATATATTAGGATCCCTATGACTGGGATCGCATCTCATTGGCCTCGAGAACCGTGCTCCCTTAATGATCCTCATTGCTGATACCAGTTCTACTACGCTGAAATTGAAGTTATTCTCGGGCAATCTGGGGTAGGTGGAATCCCGATTGCCTGATACCTCTTTGTCTTGCAACGGTTTATTATTCCGAGCACGGTCAACTCTCCTATCGGTAGCGAACCTGTCCGCCGATTGGAAACCTCCACCGCGTCTTTCGGCCCTTTCGTAGGGGAAAAACCGGCCTTTAGAAGACTGTCGATCTGAGTCAAAAATCAACCTTCAACTTTTCCTTTATCTTCAATTTGTAGTGGTTGTGGACATCTTCCCATTTTGCTTCTTGGAACTCGAGCAAACTTTCTTTCAGTTTTCGGGAAGTGTTAGAGCTCCTCGGGTTCAGCCCCTTAGTAAATGCCTCAACTTCCCATTCATCTGGCATGGCTGGTAGCAGCATCCTTTCCTTCTTAAATCTGGTCACGAACTCTCGCAACAATTCAGACTCTTCTTGCGCAATTCTGAATATATCGATCTTTCGGGCCTGCACCTTGCTAGCCACGACATGGGCCTTGATAAAAGAATACGCGAGCATCTCGAAGGAATCTATTGAGTTCTCGGGTAGAAGTGAATACCATGTCAAGGCCCCGTTCGTGGTCTCCCAGAACTTCTTCAGCAATACTGACTTAATCTAGTGCGGAGCTAAGTCGTTTCCTTTCACCCCTGTTGTGTAGGTGGTGATGTGCTCCTAAGGATCTGAAGTCCCATCATATTTTGACACGTCTGGTATTTTGAACCGCTTAGGAATTAACTCTGGTGTCGTGCTCGGTTTGAACGGCAACTGGTGTATTTCTTTGAGTCTGGTCCTTTCAACACAGGCGGGGCGCCCGAGATTTGGTCCATTCAGGTGTTTATTTCCCTCATAAACTGCATGAGTTCCATTTTAAAAGGGATCATTCCCATTATTGTTACCAGATCCACTATCCCGCCCCCCCTCCCCCCCCCCCCCGGCTCCGTCAAAGCCGACTTCACCCCTCGGGGTGTTGTTATCAACCCTTTGTGTTGTTTGGTTTGCAGGAGCACCGGGAGAAACTAGACCTCTTCCGTTCGCGTTTTTGGAAGCACCCGACAACGCTTGTCTCAACCCTGTCATGACCTGATCTTGTCGCAAGAGATAGCCCATAATAGCCTTTTGTTGTTCCCTCAGGATTCTCATTGTTTCCATAACGTGCTCATCTTCAGCATCATTAGTAGTTGCCTCTTGAACGTATCGTGGATATTGCCCGCCATGGACCGACGTGGCTACATCCTCCTCATTGCGGGTATCACTGATCCAATATTCGTGTTGAGGCTGATTTCCTTAGGCCTCAACGTTGTGTGCAATGTTGACATCGTTATCTGCCATTTTTTATGATTTTTTGCTAAGAAACAAAGAATTAAACAGGTTAGTATAGATGCAAGGATCAACTCAATTACGCAACCTAATTGTCTAAGCCCCATGGTGGACGCCAAACTATTTACCCGTAAAACGGTACGGTTGAATTTGTAACGTAGTTTATAGACAAGTGAATCGATTTGATCCGAAATAAATAATAAATTAAATAAATTGCAAGACTTAGTGTTGAAATCGAGATAAAATAGCAAATAGCTTAGTTCCGGGAGCAGAGATTCCAAAGGCAGTAATTAGAATATCAATAGACAAGAAATAAAGTGCTATTGAGCTTTAGAATAATATGTAGCATAAGTTTGTTAGAAAATTCATGTCCTTGACAATGGCTGTTGAAGTCACTATATATAGTTGCACCTAGGGAACAAGATCCTAGGATCAAGTCTCTCTTAAATGACAATTATGGGACCATTTGTTATATATCTGTATTGCTGAAAATAAATTAAATAATAATCTTTCTGAAAACAAAAACAGAAAGTTAATAGAAACTAAATTCCAAAAAACAGTAAACTTTTTCAAAATAAATTCTAAAAACGTTGTAGGAACAAATCGAGCCCACTGAATACACAGTGTGTCCTTAAGAAAATTATTCCCCTCAAGTACCTGAGGATCTGGAATATATCCTCCCAGGATAGAACGATTTAACTCACCAGTGTATCGGTACCTAAAACTTTGGTGATCGGAGAATCACTCAATGGTCGTAAAACACAGTGGAATATTTGGTGCAGAAGAAGAAGAAGATTTAGAAAATTTAGTAAGTAAATATTCTGGGATTTGAAGGTGTATTTATAGCCAATTTCGGTGCTGTTTCTGAAAAGGTTTGTAACCTTTCAGAATAGCCATAGCTGTTGGAACAAGTTTGACACTGTCTCAGAACAGCCATGGCTATTGAAAATATTGCGGGAAAATTTAAAACGGATTTAAAATAATCCGGGAAAGAAAAACGGGCCGGACCGGACCGGGTCGCGGGTCATGGGTTATTTCAGATTGAATTTTCTTTAATTAATTTAATTAATTAATTAAATATTTGAAAAGAATTTTGTCCAAAAAGATTAATCAATCAATCGATCTTTTACAAATCCAAATCCAAATCCAAATCCGAATCCGAATCCGAAGCCGAAGCCGAGCAGAGCGAGCGATGACGACAACGTCGCGAGGCTTGCCTTCTTCTTAGCTCTTTAAGAGCTCAAAGATGAGCTTCTCTTTATATACCCAAAGATTTTCTTTCCTTCTACCAATGAGGGACAAAGTGCATAAGTGAAATGAATTCATTCAAAATTTCACTTCCCTCCATTTCTTTTCCCACCATTTTCCATTCACACCTCTTTTGTTATTATTTATTAATAACAAACCCAACAATCCCCCACATGAATGGGGAATGGCTATAAACTCAAAGGAATGCACGGACGTGTGTGTGTTTTACAAGCAAGAATTGATTGCATCTGGATAAGTAGGTTTCCCTTTGAACTTTCTGTAGTGAACTTATATCGGATATACTCGGTCAATAGGTAGATTTGATATCTTTGAACCGTCGAGCTTTGTTGTATACCTAGACAACATAAGTCACACAATCAATCCTTAACCATCTATGGTTCTCACGGTTGTGTTCGTTTCAGCCATGAACACCGCCTGGTTTCATGAGCGGCTTACACTTCACACCCACATAGGTGATTCCTAAACGTGTAATCCTAAAGACACACTATCTGGTCATATCCTGCCAGACTTAGCAAATCATTAAAAAGCTTTAATCTTCATTGACTCATCAAAAAGCCTTAATGCTTTACCTTATTTTTGAACATTGTCTTCATCACGAGAATGGGTTGAGTTAGTTGACAATGTTGAACCGTCATTCATAATTTTGTTTGATCTCTTTGAACCTAGCTCTTGGGATCTCCAGTCTGCTAGGTAGAGTTACCGCCATGATGACTTGTCCTAGGCCTTTAACCCCATTCCCTTTGATGATCTTTCAACCGCCTCTCTAGATAGGCCTTCTGTAAGTGGATCCGACACGTTATCTCTTGACTTTACATAGTCAATTGTGATAACACCACTAGAGAGTAGTTGTCTAACAGTATTGTGTCTCCGTCGAATATGACGAGATTTCCCGTTATACATAACGCTCCCTGCTCTACCTATTGCCGCTTGACTATCACAATGCATACATATAGGTACCAAAGGTTTGGGCCAAAATGGAATATCTTCCAAGAAATTCCGGAGCCATTCAGCTTCTTCACCGGCCTTATCTAAAGCTATGAATTCAGATTCCATTGTACAACGGGCGATGCACGTTTGTTTGGATGATTTCCAAGACACTGCTCCACCCCCAATTGTGAAAACATATCCACTCGTGGATTTAACTTCAGATGATCCGGTGATCCAATTTGCATCACTATATCCCTCGATCACGGAAGGATATTTGTTATAATGCAAAGCATAATTTAGGGTATGTTTCAGATACCCCAAAACTCGTTTCATTGCCATCCAATGTATTTGATTGGGGTTACTTGTAAACCGACTCAGTTTGCTAATAGCACATGCTATATATGGTCGCGTACAATTCATGATATACATCAAACTTCCCAATACTCTTGCATAGTCCAGTTGTGAGTCACTTTCACCTTCAGTCTTTTGAAGTGCATAACTCATGTCAATTGGAGTCTTGACAATTTTGAAATCCAAATACTTGAACTTGTCAAGTACCTTTTCAATGTAGTGAGACTGTGATAATGCTAGACCTTGTAGAGTCTTGCGAATTATGATTCCTAAGATCACATCAGCAACTCCTAAGTCTTTCATGTCGAATTTGCTAGCCAACATGCGCTTTGTAGTATTTATATCTGCCATACTTTTGCTTATTATCAACATGTCATCAACATATAAACAAACAATGACTTAATGACCTGGAATATTTTTAATGTAAACACATTTGTCACACTCACTGATTTTAAATCCATTTGCCAACATTGTTTGGTCAAATTTTGCATGCCATTGTTTGGGTGCTTGTTTAAGTCCATAAAGCGACTTAACAAGTTTGCACACTTTCTTTTCTTTACCAGGAACCACAAAACCCTCAGGTTATTCCATGTAAATCTCTTCCTCCAATTCTCCATTTAGAAAAGCTGTTTTAACATCCATTTGATGGATTTCAAGACCATACACGGCCGCTAGTGCCACTAACACCCTAATAGATGTTATCCTTGTTACTGGCGAGTAAGTGTCAAAGTAATCAAGGCCTTCCTTTTGTCTATAACCTTTGACAACAAGTCTTGCCTTATATTTGTCAATAGTGCCATCAGCTCTAATTTTCCGTTTAAAGATCCATTTCGAACCTGAAGGCTTATTTCCCTTGGAGGTAAGATCAACCAATTCCCAAGTATGGTTATCCAAAATTGATTGAATCTCACTATTGACTGCCTCTTTGCAAAACGCTGAATCAGAAGACGACATAGCTGCTTTAAAAGTTTGAGGCTCATTTTCAAGCAAGAATGTCACAAACTCTGGTCCAAAAGAAGTAGATGTTCTTTGACGTTTGCTACGCCTTGGATCTTCTATACTTGGAGTATTTTCCTTTGGTTCTTCTCGAGGTCGTTTAGGTCTTTCACTTAACGACTCACATTCAGTTTTATACAGATAGATGCTTTCAAAGAATTTAGCATTATCTGATTCCATTACCTTATTAACATGAATCTCGGGATTATCGGATTTATGAACCAAAAACCGACATGCTTTACTATTTGTAGCATATCCAATAAAAACGCAATCTACTATTTTTGGTCCAATTTTAACCCTTTTAGGTAAAGGAACCTGTACCTTTGCTAGACACCCCCACACTTTGAAATATTTCAAGTTGGGTTTTCTTCCTTTCCATTTTTCATATGGAATAGATTGCGTTTTGCTGTGGGGTACTCTGTTGAGTATTCGGTTAGCTGTAAGGATAGCTTCCCCCCACAAACTCTGCGGTAATCCGGAACTTATTAATAAAGAATTCATCATTTCTTTTAATGTCCGATTTTTTCTTTCCGCAATTCCGTTGGATTGAGGTGTGTAAGGTGCAGTAGTTTGATGGATAATTCCATATTCCGAACATATTTCTGCAAACGGAGATTCATATTCTCCACCTCTATCACTTCTAATCATTTTGATCTTTT